TTCAAAACCATCGTAATCAAAACAGCCTGGTACTTGCACAAGAACAGGTATATAGCCCTGGCCGGTTTGGCTCAGCGGTTAGAGCGTCGGTCTGTGGTCCACAGAGACCCGGGTTCAGTTCCCGCTAAGGTCATGTACCTCGGCTGCAGTTTGTCCTTGGCCCTGATTGGGTTGTGCGGGTGGCGGCCACTCGATGTGTCCCTTTCACGTCAATGTTTCTCTCTCTCCCCCTCTCTCTCTCCCTCCTGCTCTATCTGAATAAAAAAAAGAACAGGCATATAGACCAATGGAACAGAATAGAGAATCCAGAAATTGACCCAAGACAGTATGCTCAATTAATATTGGACAAAGGTGGCAAGAGCATACAATGGAGTAAAGACAGCCTCTTCAATAAATGATGGTGGGAAAATTGGACAGCTACATCCAAAAAAAAACCAAAAAACTAGACCACCAAACTTACATCATACACAAGAGTAAACTCAAAATGGATAAAAGACTTAAATGTAACACATGAAACCATAAATATCCTAGAAGAAAACATAGGCAGAAAAATCTCAGATATCATACTTAGTGGAATTTTCACTGATACATCACCTAGGGTAAGAGAAGCAAAGGAAAAAAATTAATAAATGGGACTATATCAAACTAAAAAGCTTCTGCACAGCAAAAGAAACCAGTATCAGAATGAAAAGTGAACCCACTTTCTGGGGAGAACATTGCCAACGATACATTGGATAAGGGGTTAATGTCTAAAATATATAGAGTACTCATAAAACTAAAAAAAAGAAAGACAAACAATCCAATTAAAAAATGGGCAGAAGGCCCTGGCCGGTTTGGCTCAGAGGTTAGAGCGTCGGCCTGCGGTCCAGAGAGACCCGGGTTCGGTTCCCGCTAAAGGCACGTACCTCGGTTGCAGTTTGTCCCCGGCCCTGGTTGGGTTGTGCAGGAGGCAGCCACTCAATATGTTCCTTTCGTGTCGATGTTTCTCTCTCTCTCTCTCTCTCTCTCTCTCTCTCTCTCTCTTCCTCTCTATCCCTCCCACTCTATCTGAACAACAACAACAACAAAACGAAAAAATGTCCTCAGGTGAGGAAAAAGAAAAAAAATGGAGAGAAGACCTGATTAGAAATTTCTCCAAACAGGACATACAAATGGCCACAAGACATATGAAAAAATGCTCAACGTCACTAATCATCAGAGAGATGAAATTAAAATGACTATGAGTTATCACCTCACTCCTGTCAGAATGGCCGCCATCAACAATTATTGAACAACAAGTGTTGGCGAGGGTGTGGAGAAAAGGGGACTCTAGTACACTGCTGGTGGGAATGCAGACTGGTGCAGCCACTATGGAAAACTATATGGTGTTTCCACAAAAAATTTAAAATGTAACTGCCATTTGGCCCAGTGATTCCACTTCTAGGAATATACCCTAAGAATCCTGAAACACCAATCAGAAAGACTATATGCACCCCTATGTTCATAACAGCACTATTTACAATAGCTAAGATCTGGAAACAGCCCAAGTGTCCATCAATAGATGAGTGGATAAAAAAGCTGTGGTACATGTACACAATGGAGTACTATGCAGCTGTAAGAAAGAAAGATCTCTTACCCTTTGAGACGACATGGAGGGACCTGGAGAGTATTATGCTAAGCGAAACAAGCCAAACAGAGAAAGACAAATACCACATGATCTCACTTATTTGTGGAACATAATGAACAAAATAAACTGTCAACCAAAAAAGATCCCGAGTCATGGGAGTAGGGAACAGACTGATGATCCTCAGAGAAAGGGGGCTAGGGGTGGGGAAGGGAAGAGATAAACTAAAAAATGTATCTGCATATATGCACAGCCAGTGGACCCAGACATTATTTTGGGGAAAGCAGGAGGTTGGTGAGAGTGGGGAGGAGGGTGTCAATGGGGAAAAGGGGGGGGGGGAGACATCTGTAATACTTTCAACAATTAAAAAAAAGAAAAATCAAAACAAAACAAAAAACTGGGTGACATCAATAAGGTGACAGTACAAAAATTTTTTGGTCCATGTAAAACAACATAATTCAGTTAATAGAAAGTTATCTTCAACAGGGACACTGCAGGAGAGCTGAGCTTCCTTCTCATGGCTCTAGTCCACAGAAAAGAGCTTATCCAGCGTCACCGTGGAGCCGTTTTCAAAGGAGGGGCGGGATGATAACAGGAAGGGGAAGACGGGGAAAGTTCAGCTGTCCCCAGTTCGGAAAGGCAGGGGTACCGGGCAGGGGCTGTGCTCGCAGAAGCCTGAGGAGGAGCGGGAAGCATGGGCTTTGTCAGTTCTGCTGGTGTAGAGTCCCTGCCAAATGGAATTCCCCTCTGTGCCCAGCTGTCCCCAGTTCTGCTGTGCTGAGCCTGCAAGCCTGGGAGTCCGAGAGGGGGCAGGCTTGGGATGACTGAGAGCAGGATCTCGGCAGTGAACTCAGCTTTTGCCAGGGCACAGATGGAAGTTAGGACTACATCACCACACAGGGACCCCTGCTGCACAGCTTGCTAGAGAGGATTCCTCAGCAACCCTGACCCCTGACCGTGCCCACCATGGTGCAGGATCCTGTCCCCTCCAGGGATCTGGCTCAGCCCCCTCTGTGTCCACTTCTGGTTAAGGAAATGCGGGTCTGGTGGGACAGAGGGGACTGGGAGTGTGAGAAGGAGGCTTGGAGACAGTCTTGTGGTTTGAATGCCTGTGTTGAGCAACCTGAGGCCACACGTGCTCACATTGCATCAGCTGACCTTGTCAGCACTAATTGAAGGCCAGCCTGCTGGGGAGTAAGCCCACAGTTGATGCTCAACGAATGTAAGCAATTGAAATGATTTTTTCTTCTTTTGAAATTAAAATCTGGCGATTGTGGGAATCAAAAGGCCCCCAACCCCAAAGGCCCACTTGAAAGGGGTTGCCCTGAGCTCTGACTCTCACATTGTAGTGAGGGCTGTGGACGAACAAGTGTGCTGTGTACCATGGATTAGGTGAGACAGTTGCTCCTGACCCAGGTGCGAAGAGGGCACACGTGTATGCCTGCCCATGAGGGCCTGCTCATGGGGCTCAGCTCTCTGCCCCAGATGCTCTCACCTAACTCCAGCCTCTTTGCCCTGTTTCCCTAGATGCGGAAGCAGCGGCCCGCGGCTGTGCAGAGGTCAGGTGCAAGCCTCAGACTCTTCCTTGTCATCTTCCCTTCATGATGACCCGTGTCCCCTGCCAGGAGCAATACAGGTTCCTGTACCATATGGTGGCTCAGATGTTCTCAGAACTCCAAGGAGCCCCCATTCCCAGAACTTCAAGGAGGTACCAAGAACCCCTTTCCATTCTTCCAACCACCAATACCCTCAGACCAGGACCCAGAGCACGTGTGTATCACCATCACCATCACACATCCAGGCCCTGGCCTCCTTCTAGGGATGATGACTCATGATGATGTCTGCCTTTGTCCTTTTCCTTGCTCCCTTCCCAGACTGTCCCCTCTTCAGCTTACCCCACGGTGTCCACAGTGATATCTATCAGGAGCCTGGTCAGTTTCCTTGAAGCCTCATGCCTTTCCCCATAACCGTGCCCCGCTCTGTGATGGTGCTGTCTCCCTCTGGCCTTCCTCGGCCCTTCCTGCCAGGCCTGACCTACCTGGTATGATCCTTATGTACCCAGCTCTGTCTCTCATGCTTTCTTTTCAAGTTATCATGCTCAGAAGCTAACCCTTTCCTCACCCCTGAAACAGCAGACCCTTTGTTGCTGTTTAGTTGTCTAAATCCACTTGCCCTTTCTTTGAATTGAGCTCTGGGAACCTTCGCCAATATGACTCTTTAATCCCAGAGATGCCGTTGCCCCTCTCCCTAAGGCTTGCCCTGTGGCCCATGCTAAGCCGTTCCTGGCTCTCCCAGTCATTAATTCAGCAAATGCTTCGTGATGCTGCCCCCTTGTCAGGCCTCCTGTCCTGTGCTGCAGACACAAAGTTCACTCTCCTTTGCAGCAAAATTTACATACCGTCCTCCTTCAGGCTGCTGTCCATCGCGAGGCTTCCCTTTCTCCTCTATAGTGCTACTTCCTCGTCCTTTTATCCAATAAACAGTTCACACGTCAGCCGATGGTCACTGGTGCCAAGTCTTCGCCAACAGGAGTCCCCATCCAGGTATGGTGAAGAAGGAAACTTGACTCAGTGCGGAACAGCTCAACTGTGATACAGCACAGCTACAAAAACAACACTGTTGGGAGGCAGCCCTAGGGCCAGGCAGGCCCCTGTCCTGCTGGGGAGCAGTCTGCTCTGGGCTGGCAGAGAAATGCAGTCTTGACTGTCAGTGGAAAGAGGAAGTACCCTCCCAGAGCCAGGGGGAAGCTGGCTATATGTACAGACAGAGGGCTCTGCCCCTGTCCCTAATTAGTCTGCCCTCATGCAAATGAGGACTTAAATCCTCATAGTTTGATTGGTCCAAAAGGCACTATCCTGATCAGTCAGTATAGCGCTGCTCTGGTTGGTCTGAGCTGAGAAAGCCTCAGTCCTATTGGTTGAAATAGGATTCCAGGAACTCCCTTATAAGGGGGGCTCAGCGGGCAGGAAGGCAGTGCAGGCTTCTCCCTGAAGTGTGGGCTGTCGTGCCTGTGTAGAAATGCCTGCTAAACAGTTTTTTTGTTTTTAGTTTGAGCCAGCAGGAGGTGATATTAGTAGGGGTATTTTTCTCACCTTTTCACGTTTACACACAGAAATGTCCACCCCTCAATACCAGTACCTTGCCCCCGCTCCTGGCTGCCCCTTCCCACCTTCATCCACCTACTCTGCCAGTGGCAGTGGGTACAGGAAAAGAAAACCCTTTACCCAGAGACCCCTCCCTTTCTTCCAGACCACTCCCTCCCTCCGTTCCCCTACCCCTAACTGTGGGCCCCTGGGGCGGAGAGGAAGCCTGCGGTTTGTGCACGAGCTCCGGGCTCCCCCCAGGCCCTCCCTCCCCCCTCCCTCCGCGGTTTCACTTCCTCCCCACCTCCCCTTGGGCAGCATATTCCTGCTCCCAGCCCTCGCCATGGCCGACACCTATGCGGTGGTGCAGAAGCGCAGGGCTACTTCAGGCTCGGGGCCAAGGTCCCCCATGTGCAGCACGGAGGGGGCGAGGTCCCCCATGTGCAGCACGGAGGGGGCGCCGATCTACAGCCAAGTGATGCCCCAAACCCGCCGGCCTCAGGCCCGGGCAGAGGAGACACAGGGGGCACTGCCGGGCGGAGGTGAGTGGACCGACCGCAGAGGGGCTGGGGAGGGCCCGCCCCCGCCCCCGCCCCCCTCCCCCTCCTTCTTTGGGCTCCTGCTGGACCTCCGCTCCCGTGCGGACCTGGCCACTGCCCACTTGCTGCTCACGATCATGTGTGTCCCAGTTCACACCGTAAGGCCAGCAGGGGTGCGCTTCTCGGGGAAGCCACCTCCTCTGGGCCGAGGTCTGGGACCTGGCCCCTCCTCCCCTAACCCTCACCCCCACCCCGGCGGGAGCTGACTCCTGAAGGCTGGTTTCCCGCCTGCAGTTCCTGCGGATCCCGGCCCCACTGGGCCCGGCGCATACGAGGACGTGGCCAGTGGATCTCAGGCCGGTGGTTTAGGTAAGTCAGGCAAAGTCCAAGTTCCTGGGACCCTGCAGCGTTGACTGAGTCCCAGAAGTTTGGGGTTGAGGGATGGTGGTATGGGGCTCCTGCCCGCGTCGCAGCGCTGTGGATGGGGCTGCAGCAGACATGGAGAGCCTGAAGGCTTGGGGGTGGCCTTACCCAAGTTACCTGCCTCTCCGCAGCTCAGCTTCTCCCTGAGAACGGGTGCCCTTCCTTTCCCAGGCTTCAACCTGCGCATCGGAAGGCCTAAGGGGCCCCGAGACCCTCCCGCGGAGTGGACCCGGGTGTGAGTCCGCGCCCAGCCTGCCTTCTCCCCACGTGGACGGCGGACGGCTGCGCTCTGCTGTGTGAAGTGCTGGGAACCGAGACGCCGGGCCTGGGTCTGAATAAATTTCGCAGGGTGGGAAATGTGCAGGCTTTGTCCCGGTGACTGGCATTCAAGGCTTGAGGCTGGGGGAGGGAGCTGGGGGACAATGGCTGGTGAGGCTGCACTGGATAGTTCAAGAGTAAACACCAGGAATGGGTTCAACCCTATGGGCCCCCAGTTGTGAAGGGGAGGATGGACGGTTGGGTTTTTGGAAACTGTCCCCATCACCACATAATAGACTAGTTCATCCCAGTATCTAAGCCTCTGTTACTTAGACATTTAGCTGATGACATAGAGGGATGGATGGACCCTGAGAAAGACTACCCCCCACCAGTCAGGCAGATCCAAGCTAGGCATGACAACAGTCTAGTAGGCTGATTTCAGACAGGTGAAAAGATTTTCAGATGGAGAAACAGACAGACCCCGACCTGGAGAGGCAGACAGCCATACGCTAGACAGACAGCCAGACCTTCAGAGGGACAGTTCACACAGCTGGATGGATGGACGTCCAGCTGAGAAGGCCAGGCAGATGAGACCCCGCCCTGCCGGACAAGACTCCGCCTCTCCGGACAAGACCCCGCCCCGCCGGACACAGACAGTCCCCTTATATCTCAGTGCAAGACACCCCCCCACTGCACCCCTGGCTCTTGTGAGAAGGCATGCCTGGTGAGCCCCTGGGCAGTGCAGCGACCCGCCCTTGGCTTTTGTAATGTGATTCCCATTCATCCCCCAACGCCTAAACTACAGTGGAACTAGAAGCCCCCAAATGCCAGGAGGCTTATCATGTATAAAAGGAGGCTGGAACTTGGGCTCCTCCGGGCTCAGCCTTTGGAGGTGACTCTCCTGGGGCAGCACTGGTGCACATTAAACAGTCATTTTCTAATCCTCAGAATGCGTTGCAGTCTGTCTCTTCCCGCCGACCGAATTTCTGCCACAATACAACCAGAGACAGACCAGCGAACAGCCTGACAGATTACCCCCAGCAAGAGAGACTATCACAAACCCCCTTCCCCCCAGGTAGCCCCTAGGTATCCAGAGATATACCAGCCAGATGGATTCCTAGCTGGACAGACTCCCAGGCAGATGTAAACCGATCCCCAGCTGAGCAGACACATAAGCATCCTCTTAGCTAGCCAGACTCATCCCTCAGGTAGGCAGACAGACTCCCAAATAGTTAGATGGACTCTCACCCAAACAGACACCAGCCACATAGACCCTTGATTACATAGCTACCCCAATCTGCCAGCTAGACTCACAACTGGGCAGAGAGGTGGACATCAGACGGGGACAGACTCCAAGTTACCAACTACACAGAACTCACATTTTGGCAGACAGATTGCTGTACCTCCTGCTGAGAAGACAGCCAGCTGGACCCTCATGCAGACGTCTAGACCTTCAGATGAGCATCATGAGGTAGACAGAACCCTGCTATCCATACCATCACCCAGCTAGGCACACAGTGCAGATCAGCAGATCCTTCAAACAGACTGCCTACTAGCCAGAGGGACCTCCAGCCCCTCAGGAAGATAGGACCCCATTGGATGAATGAACCCTTTATCGGACAGATGGCCTTCCAGTTTGATAGTGAGACTGTCTGCAGCCAGAGAGACAAATGGACTTCAAACCATTTGGCCTGCTAGATCTCAAGCTAGACAGACAGATCTCAAACCAGATGAATGGACAGATGACTGACCCCTAACAAGTCAGACCCTATTTAGACAGAAACCAGCCAGGCAGAAAGACTCCCAACCAGACTGTTCCCTGGCTGTTCACACAAGCCCCTGACCAGATAGATCCTCTTCAGTAGATGGATACAGATTGTCACCTTGGAAAACAAATCTGTAGCCAGCGAGACAGACCTCTAACCTCATCGACAGATAGACTGACCCAGGCAGATGGACTAGGTCTTAGCTAGACAGACTGATGAAACTCCAAGTGGCGGGCCTGAGGCTAAGGCGACTGGATTCCGTTCTTACGTGGGCCCCTTGGCTGAGGCGACTAAATGACTCCATTTTTATCATCAATGGACCTTCCTCAATAATTTTCCAATAATAGGTTAATTACCCCTAGAAGTAAAGGAATTTTGCCTAAGATTGTAGTTGCCCCACGTGTTGGGAGGCATCTGCAGTTTCCAGCATCGGTATTCGCAGGTGTTTGCAGGTACCAGTGAGCCCGGTGAATAAGGCTAATTCTGACTTCAGTAATCGCTGTCAAGCCCACCATTGTACCGGTCCCCTGGGCGGGGGGATGGGGCTTCTGTCTTTAAAATCGGAGGAGCAAGAAGAGCAAGAAGAATCAGGGCTGCAGGTCTGAGGGGAGAATATGCCCTCCACGGTCCACCGGCGAGAATAAAGCGCTCCTTTGCAATTTGGCCGTGTGTCCCTGGTTATCTCGCTGACACATTATAGCACAAGTAGATAGACTCAGCTGGAAAAATGAACTCCAGATAGATTGACTCCCAGCTTGATATGACCCCCAGACAAATCCCTGACTGAACAGACATGCAGACCCCTAGTCAGAAAGACAATAGTCAGACACCCCCACCCCCATCTAGACAGGAAGACAGACAGATGGGTCACCCAGCTAAGAAACAGTCTCCCATCCAGATCTTCAAGCCAGCCAGAACCCCAGGTTGATAGAAAGACAAGAGTAGATAGATGCCTGATGTTCCACAATCCTGCTCCTGTGTGAGCTGCTCTTCCCTGTGATTGTCCCAGCACAGTCTGTCTGACAATGTCATGTTCATCCAGGCAGACTCCCAGCATCCCTCCCCAACACGGCACCCTTCCCAGGCTGTTGGAAAGCTGTCCTGTGTCTGTGATGAGCATGGACCATTAAGGCCTTCACTACCACTTGCCTCTACAGGCCCACATCCCTCATATAGTTACTGTGAGAATTCAGTGAGAGAGAGAGAATGTAAGGACTTGGTTTGGAGCCTGCCCTGTGCTGGCTGAATATTAGACCATACTCTGCTCTGGGCCATGCATTCAGCAGAGGCTCTGCCACAAGTCATTGGCCTGAGAGTATCGGTAAAAGGAGGTTAAAACTTTTCTTCCTTGACCTCAGCAATGCTTTTCAGCAAAGACTCAATTTGTTAAGTACTGGACTGTAAAGTCTGCACAAGAAACAGCTCAGCTAGCAGAAACCAGCACTTACAAGGAAACCTAGGGATTCTCCAGCTTCATGAGGAACAGGAAGTCAGTTCCACTTGGAGTCCAAACTCAGGAAAAGTTGGGGCTGACCTTGATGGGAAGAGGTAGGCTGTTGGTAACAGGAGGGTCAAGGTGTCATTTAGAGCACACACCAACCTCAAGGCCAGAAAGATTAAGTTCATTTGGCTTCAAAGACCAGAAGGGGAAAAGCAGTAGTGTCTTGGGGGCGAGGGGGCCTATGGCAGAAGGAAGGAACAAAGTTCTCCTAAGGGGGTAGGGGGACTGGTCCTCTGTCTCCTGAGGTCTGTCTCTTGGGCTGGCACACACTCAGCCCAGACTCCTAGCAGAAACCATGACCATGGGGCTGCTGTATAGATTCAGGTAAGATCTGTTAGCAATTAAGTTTGAGGCTGAGCTGCTTGCAATTCTTAGCTACCTACCCAAGACCGAATGAAGAGCAGTTCTGCGGAAACTGAACGATGCCCTGCGCCATCGAGCTGGAGCACAGCCAGCGTCAAAGAGCAGCCGTAGGCTTGAAGGCAGAGCTCGGGAGAGAGCTGGGCAGGGCTACGCATTTTATCTCAGGCTGTAAAAAAATATTTGTAAGTAGGTGCTGCACCCAATTTACAGATGAAAAGGAGGCTCAGAGAACCCAGCTATTAATTTGAGATTCAAATCCAGATCTAGGTCTCAAAATTAGTGGTATAGAAATATATGACCCCAAGGGAATGAGGCCCTAAATCTTTAAATGGATACAAATAGCTGACGCGAATTGGATGTTTGGTATGCACATGGACTGAGTCATTCATCTTCAGAGCAACTCCACGAAAAAGGTGACAAGGGAATCATTCTGAGATGTGCTAAAGTAAATGACAGCAGGCAGGACAGTGAGAGAAAAGACAAGTATTTAACCAGCTGTGGGCCAACTAACAATAGACAGCTCACATTCCTGGATGTGCCTTGGAGCTTTGAATCAACTTCCAGGGGGCTATCTGAAAAGAAGTAAGGACCACCAGACCCCCCAGCATCCTGCATATGCACAACCTTTCAGGACTTGCCCAGCACCAATCAAAAATAAGGACTGAGCACTATCCTAGAACTGCCCCGCCTTTACCTTTTCCCACCCCCTTATCTATAGCCAATGTGAATTCTTTGAAAACAACTTACACCTTGATTCCCCAAAACATAATGTGTAAAGCCTGTCAGCTGCAGAACAGGGGCCACGTTGCCTTCTCCATCGGGCTCTGCGGCTGCCGGTGTGGACTGCATCTCAGGACTGTCCTTTTTGGGCTGGTATTTGGCTCAACAAACCCTTTCTTTCAGAAAACATTTCAGCCATAAAAGGTTTTCTTTAATGGAGGTAACTTGACTATCCCCACTTTACTTATTTCAGTGATAACAGCAATAAATAGAACATCATTTAATGTTTCCTTAAGTAAGCTTGCATAATAATGGTTCACTGCTTGGGCTGCGTCACTGACTAGCTGTGTGATCTTGAGCAAGTTTCTTCATCTCCCTCTGGTGCTGTATCCTGGTCTGTAAAAAGGGGACAATCTTTATCACAGGGTTGCCACATACGTGATTGTTCAGAGCAAAAGGGAATCTGGATTTTTACAATAGATATAAGAAGATTTATTTTTTCAGGATTTTTTTTTTATCCCCAGATTTATTTTATCCCCAGAATAAAACAGAATTTTATATAGTTGGGATGATAGTATTGAAAGCTCTTGCTAAAGATGTAAACAAAAGAAAGTAAATTTGATTACACGTTTTCCTGCTTTAAACTTAGTGGCTATAGCCTTAGATAGCAGTTGCACTTTGAATCAGTGGGCAGAAAAATGGTTCATTCAACGTAAGTATTGAGATAATTAAGTAGTCACCTAGGAAAAAAAGTTTGAGTGAGCAGTACATCATACATTACGCAGGGTAAATTCAAAATGCACCAAAGCCCTGCAGGTGTGGCTCAATGGACTCAGCGTTGTTGTCCCATGGACTGAGAGGTCCTGGTTCAATTCCCCGTCAGGGCACACACCTGGGTTTCAGGCTCAATCCCCAGCAGGGGGTGTGCAGGAGGCGGCCGATGGATATTTCTCTCACATTGATGCTTCTATCTCTCCCTTCCTCTCTCTCTAAAAAAATCAATAAAAACATATTTTAAAAAATGCACCAAAGATTTAAATATAAAATATTAAACCATAAAAATATTAGAATAAATAATGGGAAAGTTTCTTTGTAATCAGGACTGCAGCAGTCCTTGGTAACTACGGAATGACAAATCAGAAGCTCAAAAGAAATATATATATATATAAATTTAAATGTACAAAAATATTTCAATCTCACAAAACTCATAAATATAGTAGAAAATGTTGATGTTAGAAACATCCAAATCTATAGAGAATTGTTATGAGTTTTGAGCCAAACTGACAATTTTTGGGAAGCAAAACCTCTTCGGATAGAGAAAATACTCCAGGTACTCCAGAGAATGGCAGTTTTGCAGTTTATTCTGTACATTAGCGTAAAATAAAGAGACACAAGGAGGGTTACATGAAATACATCGGTAGTGGATTAGGGAGGCTGGAGAAAGTGAAGCCGGGAAATCTCTGGGCTTGGATAAACAGCAAAGCAGAGAGACACAGACTTTTGCATGGTAGGTACAGGATAGTTAACTGTCATAGCACAGAGGTGGTATTTGGGCAATTAGGTAACAATGCGGAGGAGTTCTATGGTCTCT